CTATCGTGACCAATAATCTGAACAAGGCCAGCACACTCAAACCCTCGGTCACGATGACTTGTGGCTTTGTGCTAGCACAGCTATCGATGCCCCCAAATGATTTCCGTCTACCCAATTTCCTCCTGAGGCTTGGGTCAACCCGTTGTATGGTTTTCAGGCACTTTCTAAAGGTGCCGCACGCTGAGATCGCCCCCTCCGAACCGACATCATCAGTCACCTTCCTGACAAATCCCAACCATGGTGAATTCAGGCCCCGGGTCTCATGGTCAAACTTAACCATTCAGTAATACATACATACATACATACATACATGATTAGAATCTTAGTATTATATATATTTTTTCCAATTATTATATTTATGCGTATTGGGTGAACAGTTTACCACTTGCGTCTTAGTGGCATTATCGCCTTGCTTGGGGTGATTCGTTTTTTGAGTTTGTTTTTTTTTTATTTATTTATTTCGTTATTTATAGTCAGAAATATTTTTAAATTGTATGATTTTTTATCTTTACATAATAATGGTTTCGTGATACAAGTCTTACTAATTAAGACATACCGGGAGGGAGGGAGGTGAAGTTATACCTTTACCTAGGGTATTTTTGCGTAAGGCCAACGGGAATTGGAACTTAGTTCTCCGGTTAACAATTCCGGGCCATTATTCATTATACCAACCGCATATCCAAGCTTACAATACTTGATATTCCCAAGTGGAAACCGGTGTTTTAACATGATACGGTCGTAGGCTCTGCCTTGATTGGGGTAAAATCATTAAAAAAATACTGATACCATAAAAAAAAATTCCAGCCTATATGAAATAGATATTTTAAGTTCTCGCTATTACCAAAATATTTTCCGATATATTTTTTCCCATTTACTATATTTAGGTACAGTAATATTGGTGCAGGAGGGACAGTTTGACTAGCAATGTAAAAAACGACCCCCTATTTTATGTACAGTAGTATCCTATAAATTTTACTCCTGTTTCCTTACGACTGTTAGGTTTTATCATGCAAGTCTTTAAATATATTATTTCCAACTATTATAGTAATATGTTGTAATTTTGAAGATGAGTAAATGTATTATTTAATAACAATAGTTGGGGTGTTGGAAGAGCTTGGAACTATTTTCGATGTATTTCTCCCGTTCCTGTAAATATTGAGGGCTGCAAATTCTGAATGCTCTTAAATAGAATCCGATGATTAGTCCGTATTTTAATTTGTTGTTTTGTTCTTGAAATTGTTCTTTTTCAAAATATTTTACCTAAACAATCAATACACTTTCGACATATTGATGCTGCTCTATTAATATACCCCCGAGTTTCCTGATATTATAGATAAACTAAACAAATTCGAACGTACAACTAGAAATAGAAGAAAACAATACTTTACCTTTCCTAGATATCATGCATTAACAGTAGCTTAAAATTTAGTGTCAACCGAAAATCAACAACTAAAAATGATCTCATAAATTTCTATTCTCATCATAGCAACAAAATACAATCCGAAATAACTGCTCCGACAGACTACTTTCACTGGTTCCCAAACTGAATGAATTTAAGCGTGCTACTAAGTTGGCATCTCGGCCCCACCCTTTCACTGTCGAAACGGCTAAATGTAGCAATCACTTCTACTCCAACAGCTTCTTATCTAGTACCTCCCGTCAGTGGAACTCCCTTATCACTTGCTTCCTGATATAAGTAATCTTCAAATATTCAAATGTAATGTCAATCGACATCTTCTGATACCTTGACCTGTCCTTCTCTTTATCCTTTTCCCCGACGCTCTATTTTACTCTTACTCACTCTCTATGACCCCCTTATTATTGCTGAAACACTCCCCCTTTGCCCCTTGGGGTGATTTGCTAAAAAAATCTGATTCTCTTAAAAGTCAATCAGTTATGTGCCATGCGTGATACGCTTAAGCGATCATATATCTTTCGATACATGACTGACGAGTGAATTTTCCGTGGTAGGTTACCATTTCTTACTGCGGTAGACCTATGATTTGCCATCAAGCTATAGAACCTTGTCTGTCCTTCTATTTACCCATAATTTTTAAGAAGAGGATTCATACCTTTCCCAAGAGTATGTAATGGATTCGGCAGGAATCCGATTCCTCAATCCGAGCCGCTATCCACTGATCTAACGTGCCTTAAGAGCACTCAGTATTTATTTAACAACGATGGAAAATGGATCTCCCCACAGATCCTTATATTAATATTTGTTTACGAATTCCGTAAAAAATCATAGTTTATTTTGTTATATCTTTACTATAAATAATTATTTTTTTTACATGTGAATATTGAAATACATTTTTCAATTATTATAGTTTATACATTTGCACATCCATACGCTGATATTTTCTCTCGAGCAAGATCATGTTATCCATGTTATCTTCTTTTCGCTTTTTTGTTTTTTGTAAATATCACAATATTATGACAAATTATAATTTAGCATTTAAATTTTTCTACTTCTCGGCGATAAACTACATCCGCGTCCAGGGTAAGACGATAAACTACGTCCAACAGCAAGGCCTCTGATCAGGAGGTTTTGAGGAGCGTGAAACCACCTTTTAATTGCTGGTGTTCCCAGGTCCGCCCTGAACGGGGTGGTAGCACCTATAAGGGTCCCAGCTATGGGCAAATAGTTAACCCCGAAACTGAGGTAAAAAGCATTATAAAAGTGTAAAAATAGGACTGAACACCAGAAATACTTTGTAAAAAAATTTTACCAGAAATAAATTTTTGAAGAAGAAAGAATATTACCAGAAATAAATTTTTGAAGAAAGAAAAAATATTACCAGAAATAAATTTTTGAAGAAGAAAAATATTACCAAAATAAATTTTGAAGAAAAAAATATTACCAGAAATAAATTTTTTGAAGAAGAAAAAAATATTACCAGAAATAAATTTTTGAAGAAGAAAGAATATTACCAGAAATAAATTTTTGAAGAAAGAAAAAATATTACCAGAAATAAATTTTTGAAGAAAGAAAAAATATTACCAGAAATAAATTTTTGAAGAAAGAAAAAATATTACCAGAAATAAATTTTTGAAGAAAGAAAAAATATTACCAGAAATAAATTTTTGAAGAAAGAAAAAATATTACCATCAATACGTTTTTGAAAAAATAATATTACCAGCTATACGTCTTTGAAAAAGTAATATTACCAGCTATACATTTCGAGAAAAAATATTAACAGAAATAGATTTTTGACAAAACAAAATTATTACCAGGAAAAAAGAGTTGTCGGCATTAAATGACCCATTGTGGTTGATGTGCCGTAAAACAAACCAAACCTACTTCTCTTGGTCTAGCAACTTCTATCGCTTTTCTTTCCATCATTATCATCCTCATTATTATTATTATTATTATTATTATTATTTCCTTTTATTTCTGTTGTATACACATTTCTTCGGGTCCATCCAGAGACCTAAGATAAAAATGGTTTCATTATTTTCACTGATCATTAAAATTCATATCGCCTGGAATTTTACATAGATAAAGCTCTTTGTAATGTGTGAGCTTTACTTATCATCATCATCATCATCATCATCATACAATTCTGCTTGTTTCCTACTGTGTAAGTTACATCCTGCCATTACCTCATAAATAATGTTTTGATTTCGAGAAAAGACGGAAAAGACATATCAGCGATGCTATTTTGTTTCCTTGAGAAAAAGAAAGAGAAGACGTTAATTCTCTCATGCGTTTAACGTTTGCTTCAATGAAACGGAAAACTTGTCAATTTTAAAGCTTTTCATTTGTACCCCCCCTTACTTAATGGCCTGCACCCATATGATTGTTATTGCAATATTTTGTTAAAGATGTTAAACTCTAGTAGTTAACGATGTAATAGGGGAATTTCTACGGGTATTCTATAGCCGTGGAACTCGCAAAGAGCTTATTGAATCATTAACTTATAAATGATGATTTATCAGAAAATTCAACTAGGAAAATCGTGAAATTTTCACGGATACTACTATTATTTTCATCCATGCCGTCGGTGAAAACTTTAGGCTCAAAAATCAGAAATTTCTGACTCAAATTTTGATTTACGGTTTATCAACCCTTTGCAGGTGATTTAAAGCCAAAAAATATATTTAGATTGTAAGAATTTTTTTTGCTGATAATAATGATTTATTAATATACCGTCCTTTATAATAGCATTGCTTGATTGATTTATTTTTTAAGGCTTATCAACTCTTTGCAGGTTATTTAAAGCCAGAAAATATTTTTAGAATGTAAGATTTTTTTTTTTTTTTTTTTTTTTTTTGACATAATGTTTCAGTGATACAAATCTTATTAATCAACGTGTAGATGACGGGTTGATTCTAATCAATCCATACCTGGTGGATTCATACCTTTTCCCAAGAGTATTTAAAATATTTGAAATTGGAAATCGAAGTTAAGCAACGTCGGGCCTGGCTAGTACCTAGATGGGTGACTGGTCATTTAAAAAAATACTTAATATCATACACATTTTTACATAGATAAAGCTCTTCGTAATGTGTGAGCTATACTTATTATTATCATCATACAATTCTGCTTGTTTTCTACTGCGTAAGTTACATCCTGCCATTGGATGTGCGGGTGGTGTGATGCATAATGGCTCGGAATGAAAAATCGGAGACCCGATTTCCAATTCCTATTCGGTTCATTATATACATATTAATTAACTAACACTGTTGTAACTTACATTAGCCTGTCGTTGCGATCTACACTATGCAGAGTGGTGGGAACCCTTTAAAATGGCGGGGGGGGGTCACTGTTTAGTAGGATGCTTGCAGTTTTAAGTATAAAGATGATTGTAAGAATTTATTTTGCTGATAATAATGATTTACTAATATCAGTCCTTCTAATTAACCGATAGATGGGGGAGAAGAGGCGGATTCATATTTTTTTCCCCAAAGGATATTTGCGTGTAAATGAATATTTGGAACTAGGATCTCCGATTAATAATTCCGGTCGTTATCCATTATACCACCCACACACCCGAGCTTATAGCATCTGGTATTCCCAAGCGGTCACCCATCTAGGTACTGACCAGATTCGACGTTGCTTAACTTCTGTGATCGTACGAGAACCCAACGTGATGTCCCCGAACTTCTTTATTCCACCCGCACATCCAAGCTTATCCAAATCGGTCGCCCATCTAGATACTGACCCAGCTCAACGTTGCTTAACGAGAACCAATGTTTCAACGTGATATGGACGCAAGCCTTCAAATTTTGTTACTTTTGAAAGTTAAGTTAAACATGCGATAATATGCCGGTTAATTTGAACTCAGTACTGGACTGTTATGCAATATCTGTCCTCCTATACGGCAGTAAATGCTAGACAATATTGTCACAGATGAAGAAAAGACTTGAGGCAACAGAAATGTGGCTCTACAGAAAGATGCTGAGAATACCATGAACTGAACATGTGAATAAAAAGGAAGTTTTAGAGAAAATGAAAACAAAAAGGATATTTATATTTGAAAAATAGTTAAAGATTCTGAGACATACAATGAGGAAAGAAGGCTTAGAAACTTTAACATTCACAGGGTATATTGAAGGCAAGAGGGACAGATGTAAGCAGTGCATGACCTTCCTATCGGGCTTGTGCAAATGGTTGGCAGAACAGGGATTAGGAGAGACTGCAAAAAACACACTTTAAGAGTTACAGCGGACAGGAAATTGTGGAGAACCATGATCGTTCACGCAATCAAGGGATACGGCATATAGATGATGATGGTAATAAGATCTAAAATGATATATAGGTGTGTATAACTAGGAAAGTATATACTTGCGTATCATGCGCTTTTTAAGACCTAATTTTGAAGCTAATTTTAAGAGGGTTGCATCATACACGAGATATAAAATTAGCATATGTACTGCTGGCTCATACGCTAATTTTATATCTCATGTATTAGGCGACCCCCTTAAAATTAGCTTCAAAATTAGATCTACAAAAGTCACATGATAAGCAAGTATATGCGGTATCTCATATCTGCTAAATTCACAAGGAACAATAGAGAAAGGTAGTTATCAAAATAACAAAAGGGATACTCGTCCTAATTTCGGATCTTCAGACAACACTATGAATGAGGGAGAGTGCCGAGCGAATTGTAGTTACCAAAACAACAAAGAGAAGGATACTCATCCGATTTTTTTTAATCATTTCACCACAAGCAAGGTAATAAAGCCACTAATACGCAAATGTTCTCAGTGAGAGAGTATGAGACAAAAGTATTAAAGAGAGAGGACAATAAATGAACAGGAATTAATAAGACCCGATAATGTTTGACTGGAAATAAAGAAGTCGGAAGAGTGTTCCACAAGAGAAGTGCGAGAGAAGAACCTCTTTGCATAGAACTTACGGTACATCTACCATTTCAACTGAAATAATGAGACCTTGCTTCCAATCTAGTACCGCGCTTAAATTTGTCAAGTCAAAGTAGCATACAGGAATGAGATATTCATTTCTGAAATGACAGAAAATGTGACACAAGGCCAAAAGAGGGATGGGGGGAGGCTGGTATTCATCTGTATTTTAAAAACTTAGCTATTTGGGCAATAACTAACCCAAATATACCAAAGTATTCCTTACACAAAACAACACATTCTACTACAGTCACCATAATGCCTCAAAAAGATCTACCATGGAGATTTAATATTATTTTAATAATATAAAAATGATAAACCTTCTCTGATATCTTTTAGCAGAGGTTTGTCTTCAAACTGTTTTATAATTAAACTTAGCTAACTAAAATAAGATCCAAACATATATATAGTATTCCTTAAATATAAATATACCATATTCTTAATTACCATGCCCTACAGCCACCATAATACCTCACAGTCTCTATGAAGTCCTAACTAGTACTGATATATACAATTTGGTTAGGTGGAGGATAGAAATAACAACATTTAAAAATGAATACCATAGAGGAAAGTTCGTCAGAACAATTACCATGAAAATATTTATAGAATAGGACATTACGGAAGTGGGAAAGTGACTAAAGCCGAGATGCCAGGTCATTACCAATAAATTATAAAATATAAGAGAGTATTAAAAGACTTATAAAATATAGACTACTGACAATACTTTATCCCAAAACTTTCTGCAACGTCATAAATGATGGAGAGAGCACCAACCGAACGGTAGTTATCAAAATAACAAAGATTGGGATATTAGTCCGAATAATTACAATGGTTAAACTTATCTTAGATCTTCAGACAGACAATATTAGCAATGACGGTAGGAGTCCTGACCGAACGGTAGTTATCAAAATAACAGAGATTGCGATATTAGTCCGAATAAGTTACTTCATAATACAGGCCTTTATCATAAAAGTTCAGAGAACACTTTCAGGAAGGCCGGGAAATGCTTTGACTGAAACTTTTTGATCAAGACAACAAAGACAAGGATAATAATGAGAATGAATAATGAAAAAATTCGCTTCTTTCATTGCTTGAAGTGAAAACCCTATCATCTTTAACTTGAGTTGCTTGGACAGCCCAAACAATCTTTCTCCCTGATGACTGCCTAGATTCAAACGTAGAATTGAAATAAAACAATTTGAAATGCTGGTGGTGCATTATTTAGGCAACGTTTTCTTTATTTCGTCCTTTCAACCAGTTTTGTTTCTTCCGGGCTAATGTCTGTACAGTCGTCGGACAATTTCATCTTTCTGATTGACCTTATCTAAACAATTAATATTTATAAGTCCTTAAGATTCTTTTCTTTTTTTTTTTTTTTTTTTTTTGTTTAATTTTAGTTTTTGTTTTTCTAGCGAAGTAAAAAATCTTAAATTACTTTTTATTTGCTTTGTATATATATACGCTTTAAAAGAAAAAGGGACCCCCTTTACTTTGTGAATGTCTACACTTGTTACCGTAGGGCGGCCTTTTTCGGCTTCTCCTGAGTTTCAAAGTTGAGCCTCGAAGTCAAAAACAATTGTTTCTTTTCTTTTTGTTAATTAACTTCTTTAAATTGACCCAACATTTTTACCCGTCTCTTTACAAAAGGAAGAAAAAAGGGGGGAAAAAATTTAAATGTTTAATTGCACTACGAACAGTGGCGAAAGAAAATCACTTTTTAGTTTTTACTGCAGTAGTTGTTGTTTCAAAGATTTTATTTATTTATTTTATTCTTTCTTCCTTTGTTTATTTCCAATACTTTATATTAAAACGGTGAATTTCTTAAATGTCCCAGTTTTTCTGAGCTATCTTTTAAAAATTACTTTATGATTTTTATTTTTAATATTTTCTTTTTTCACTTCTTATTAGATGTGTAATTTTTTTAATACTGTTATATTTTCAAATTATTTTATGATTTTAATTTTTACTATTTTATTTTTATTTTTTCTTCTTACTTCATATTGAAGTGTAATTTTTTTTTTTAAATACTGTTTTGCCAGTTATTTTTGCAAATTATTTCATGATTTTTATTCTAATTTAATTATTTTACCTTTCCTTTCTTGTATTAATATTTCAAATGAGAACGGCAAAATTCTTTATTTTATTCTCAGCTATCTTTTTAAAATGATTTTTTGAATTTAATTCTTTTGTATTTTCTTTCTTTTTCTCAATTTCGCTTATAAATCCGTAATTATCACACCCCCTGTTTTATTTATTTAATTTTTTTTTTTGTTATTTTTTTCGACGACCTTTAAGCGAAAATTCCGGACTTAAAACCTCAGTTCCCTTGCTTCATTTCTTTCATGAGGTTAATAATTAATATTGAATAAATGTTTTTCGTACTGATCACATTAGTACCCTTTAGTTTATATTGATATATTAACCAACCTATCTATTTTACATATAAAAAATACGTAGACTCTTTATTCTAATATATATATATATATATATATATATATATTATAATGGTATATAATATACAGAATGAATTTCAATAACCATCAATTACTATTCTTAAGAGTGCTCAATACCAAAGTAAAAGCAGATATAATTATTTGTCAAAGGTTATGATCTGAAGTGGAAGTTGGTTGGAGTAAAAAAACAAACAAGACACTGGATTGGAGATATAACCAAAGATTTTCATATACAAGATATGAAAATGTCATGGGTAAGTCGTATAGTGAAATGTTCGAATGTACAGTGTACGAGGTGTGAAATGAGCGTGAAAAAAAAAAAAAAAGTATGTTAATCCGGCGGACTGTTGGCTATCGGTTTGGGCTTATCGCGTTCATAGTGGAGACTGTTCTCTTTCTGTGTTAACAGGAAATCGTTTTCACAGCCTAATGTTCAAACCGGCAATCAGCCGTGATTTTGGGTAGCCTCTACGGTTAGCGTGTGGGAAGTCTTTGCTCTCTCTGTCCTCTCCGGCTTCACTTATAGTCTATATAATGGGAACGCACGGACATAGTTGTAGGTATCTGTGGCAATCGTGAGTCGCGTCGATAATGGCCAGCACTCTGGTATATTTGCGTTTGTTTTAACATTTGTTTTAAGTATAGTGCGGCGTGTGTGTGTGTGACTTAGCTAGACGAAAATTGGTGTGTAATTAGAGATGTATGTTTTTCCAATAATTGTATCAATTTCGCTTTAATTTATTATCTTTATGTGTAAATTGTGTTTTTCTGTTACAGTTACATCTTTCGCCTTTACCATTGTAAGATTAAGATCTAGACAATATTTGCCAAGTAGTTTTTGATACAGATACACCATCATTTATTTGCCAGTAATATTTAGAGAGAGTAAAATTTTTTTGAATTTATCGTTATTTAAACTTTAAAGTTTATGATTACAAAATCGATTTTCCGATGCATTTCAGTTGAACCAATGTAAAATTTATTTTCTTTATCAGATCATATGTTAACTCTAAAACTATTGTTAGTTAAATATTAGTCGTTTAAGGGACAATTCATATTATTTTATTTTTAGTTAGATTTTCTATTAAAATCGCCGATCAAGTAAATAAAAGGCGTTGTTTCTCTTTGCATGATCGGCGACGCACTCCATGACTTAGACGGCTCAGAGTACGTCGGATCTAACGACGGTTTCTCCTGATAAGGAGGAAACAATTTTGAATTCTGCTAGAGAGCGTATATTTTCTTTAATAAGATTTATTGAATATTC